GTTCAGGGTATCTCCTAGTCGAGCAGTCTCGACTAGAGTCTTCTTACTTGTTAAAATTTGCAATAAGCTTCTGCTTGAGCAAATACACTGATTTAAATGTTATTATCACGGGTTAAATGGTTTATGAAGATAATCCATTCAATTAATTTTCAATAATAAGACCAAACTGCAGACCATGCGTTCGTGTTAACTTTCAAGTAAAATGTTCCGCAAATACAGTCTACAATAGTGGTAAAGACCATCGATTAGCAGTTGCCGACTTAAAAAAAGTTAATTTTGATTTAATATAAAACATAAATTATCGATATACTAAATGTAGCTCCAGATATTATCCGCCACTATAAGGCAAGAGAGCGCATGCGCTGTTTATTAGTTGCTTTTGTCATTCGGACGAATGAAATTGTCAAAGATTTGCATTCATATTTCATTCATGATATATGTGTGTATGTATATATATAATTTTCTATTTAAGTGCTAAGACCTTTTCTCGTATATTTACACATTTACTGAGTAAAAGTGGACTGAGGTATGTTTTATAAATTATTATGGATTCACAAATCTGAAATAATGTTACACATACATATGTACATATATATATCTTATCTCATAGATATTTACATTTACAAATATTTCAAGAACGTGGGTGCTCACAGATACAAATATAATATTTATATTTATATACGCATATACATGCATATATACATTTGCATATAATAACGTAGTGTGAAAAATATCTGATAGATAAAAAAGGTAGATAATATATGGGTACAATATAGTGCTCTGGACAAATATTTTAATTGAATTTACTCAAGCTGCTTAACTTAAAAAAATGATTAAATTAGTAGCAATTAAATATTTTTGATGCCCTCTGGACGCTGTGACTGCTGAAGCTTTTTTTGTTGACCTCTCATACGGTCACATGATGAAAATATAAAGAAAGTGGCAAATATGCTGAATAAGTAAAAATTACTTAAAAAATGCATTAAAATAAATAAATTAATAAAAATGTATCGAGTTAAGCGACCGGCATTAGTTATCTGGTTTTATTAGAAAAACCTGATTTAGTGTGAAGTTTCGTGAATTCCCTATTATATTTATTTAGTATTTGATTAGTAGATCAAAATAACAATAAAATAAGATTAATTAACGAAAATTTTGTATTTTGAAATTAATTTGTACATACATACATATATAGAATGAGAATTTAACAAGAAAGTAAGCTCTAGTCGGGACGGCCCGACTACGAGATCCCCTGAACCATTCCAGCAACTAATATTTCAATAATTCGCACACGCATATACACAGCATACCCACGCACGCATAAAAACGCATTGGATGCAGTGTAGGCTTTCTATGGGACCTTAATAACTTTTCTTGCGTAATAACTTTTCTTGTGAAGAGACTATCTTCATGAAATTTTAAGATTATGATTATAGCATAGATTTGCATTCATTTGCCAAAGCATTTGCAGTGGATCTAGGGGTGGGGGTAAATTTTAACAAAAATATATTTAAAATTTGAGGACTAGAGATGTAGGAGATATAGTTATAAACCGGATTCTTTTTATCAGATTTTTTATCGATAACAAGATAGCGGGATGAGTTAACAATTTGATCAAGAATATATGTGCATTGTGGTTTCCGCCACGCCTCCTTCTGCCTGTTACATACATTCCAACAAAACATTATACCCTGATTTTCCATTTTCAATAGGTTCAGGGTATAAAAATGACAGCTCAAAAGTCTGCGTACACTTAAACCATTCTGCGTACAGTGCGTGATTTCAGGATTATCGTTAGTTTTTGCAGGTTTCTTTAATTCTTTTCGCTGATTTGCGAAAACAAATTTGACACGCGGTTTATCATGAAGCAAAAAGGAAAAGAAATATCGGTAGAAGTTATTAAACTTATAGTAAAATATAGGTTGGATATAGGCAGATACTCCCGAGAAATTGGTCAATTGGTAGGTAGAACTCATTCCTCGTGCCAAAGAGGAAAAAGGCGGGCTATCATGGCCGAGTTGCAAGTAGGAAGCCCTCTTTGGCATAAAAGGAAAGAAGCTAGTATGTGGACTTGTGTAGGGATGCATGCATATTAAATGTAGACTTTTATGTATTTTAATTTTATTTCGATATTTGTTGTAATGTAACTCCCACCCCTATACCCACCTCACCGTTAAATTTTTAAAAGGTGTTTTTCAAATAGACTTGTGCTGTGGCACATGCACGCTTTTCAATGTTATGATCATGAAGATAGTCCATCGACAAGAAAAGTTATTAAACAATGAAGATCTTATAATAAGCACTGGAGTCCTTGCGTGTGTCTGAGTGTCTGTTTCTTGCGAACAATTATTGAAATATCAATTCTTCGAAGGGTTCAGGAGATTTCGTAGTTGAACAGTATCGTCTAGAGCTTTCTTAATTGTTTAAATTAGAATATTGATAAACCCAAGATGTCATGCCATCGGCAAATAGATATAAAGAAAAATCGGCAATACATATAAAATAAAATCTATATAAAGATAGAGAGGGCCCTTAACCCAAAAAGTCGGAAAATCGAATCCTAAGACCCGCACACAATTAAACTCGGCTATAATTGAAGAGTGGGGGTGTGGCAAATCGAATAAAACTGTATTTCCTAGAGCTTTATGGCTAGAACGCTGAAATTTTGCACATGAGCTAATGTAATGAATCTATGAAGAATAATGAAAAAGTTAGGGGCGTGGCAAATCGGAAGATATAGTTATTTTTAAAATTCTGCTATAATTTGGGCGTATATACTCGGGCTGACCACCCAAGACCAAAAAGCTATGGCGGATATATGCCCACCCACAAATGTGTATATTTCCTCCCGCTCAAGAGCTGGAAGCTTCAAATTTGAATAGTTGAGTACTAGTAACCTCCTCTATCGGTGGCCTAAAAATAACAGTTACGCCTCATAAGGTACGTGGCATATTGAAAAATACCCTTTTATTCCACATTTTTTAAGCATAGGCATTCAATGTTTGCAGCTAGTTTACCGTTAGCACGTTCCAAGAACTGATCAAAAATGAGGTGTGTACTCCAAGTAGTGGTGTGTCAAATCGGAGAAAACTGCATTTTCTACAGTATTAGAGCTCAAAACTTAATTACTTAATTGCTAATGGATGTGCCCGACTGCAACGTTCTTACTTGTTATATAAAAATTAAAGAAATAATATTAAACATATTCCAAAGTCAAAAAATTAAATTTTTGTCAGTGTGACAGACTGTAGTTTTTCTAAATAAATGACATAGCATCCGTTTTCTATGAAATTCTAAATTATCTTTACACCGTTATATTGATTCCGGAACACAAATCTCGCACAAATCAATTTTGTTTTTGAATTATTTAGTTATCGAAAGTATAGTTGGCATATTATTAAAAAAATGTATCTTCTTAATTTAGAAAATACATATACCGAAATACACAGTTTTGCAAAGGATATTTTTATTTTATTTATATTCTTCTTTCTTCTTCAATTTAACCTACTTTAATGAACATTTATAATTTTTAGTAATATCTGCTTAACATAGACAACATGGAAATATCAACGGAACCATCTTTTCTTGAAGTCGAGTTGCCACAAACCCTTCTTGAATCACCATCAGTTTCCACATTTTTACCAGATGAAGAAGCTTCAATTTGTCCATTGCTTTCAAGCAACACTGCTTTAGGCCAAACCTTAGTGTCCCACCCACTCAGTCCGAACGTCGTTCCAAGCGATATTACCTCATCTAATATAAGTAATACCGACTGCAAAGCCGAAACAAGCTCTTCTGGAAGTAGTACAGGAATCGCAATGGATGCAATGGAGACGACGGCCAACCTTTTTAACAAAGTTAACTATCATCATCTACAAAACAACAACATTACAACTCAGGTAATTAGAGAGATTCATAAAGCCCTGTACAATTACGCGCTCACTGTACTTTCCTTTTGTATTCTGAACCTATTTAAAATGAACAATCAATCGTCGATTTAGACATATCCATAAATCTGTCAGTGTGTATCTTTCAAACCTACAATAACCTTTAATAATTTCCACACCTTATTTTTTTACCTCATATTTAATTTTTGGTGAAACTTTCCCAATATTAATACAAAGAAAGAGTAAAAACATTGACTATATGTACAGCCATTCATGGGGTTTTCATTGTACTTTCTTATCAGGAAGCCAGCAATCAGTGTTTGAAAGGAAGCAGAAGAAAATCAAAGGACACACCCTCTTTTGTATCTTGGAATTGGCCATTAATTCGGAAACTTACATTTTTCGTATTCGTCTCTGCAATTTTGGCAATATGCTCGATAGTCGTTGCCAAAATTGTCAGTATGCCAAAAACATGTAATCCAAAGTAAGAAAAATCTATTCATAAAAGATAAAAATAACTGTCTTCTATTTTGTTTTAGAACTGCTTGGTATCGTGGAAGCGTTTTATATGAAATAGATCCTGCCTCCTTCAAAGACACTAATAATGATGGAATTGGCGATATTAATGGAATAATAAACGAAATAGATTATTTTGTTAATTTAGAAATATCTGGAGTACGACTCAACTCTATTTTTCCATCACATTATGTCAGCTATATTAATGCTACATCGATAAATATAATAAGACCTGAACTAGGAAACCTGAATAGTGTAAGAAATTTGGCAAAACTCTTACACTCCCACAATCTGACTCTCTTATTAGATTTACCTCTGCAACATGTGATTGCTCCTGGCAGAGATTCTGAAGCTCTTCATGTTGTTTCTAACTCGATTATATATTGGATTGATCAGGGAGTGAATGGGTTTTATTTAAAGGGGCTGGAATCATATACAAATACTGGAGTACTCTTAACTTACTTGTCATCTTGGAAACGTATAATCGGTCCAAACAGAGTACTTATAGTAGGAGAATATCTTTTAAAAAATAAATCAAAACCAGAACTATCTGCTATGTTTGAGCATATTGATTTGGTTGACTTTGTTTTAGATATTGAAAATAATTCACAAAATTTTAAAAATTTCACAGATAGTATATTGTCAGAAATGCCAATCGGTGACGACAAAACTTGGGTCCACTGGTCGATCGGAGGCAATACATTGGCTAACACTAGTCAACCATTTATATCGAAAATGTTTGCGGCAACAATTATGCAGCTTATTTTGCCGGGGACACCAAATATAATGCATGGAAACGAAATCCTGATTGCCCAAAGAAAAAATCATACCTATTCAGGACAAATTACTCAACTTATGGCTGATGAATTAATGAATCGCGAAATGAATATGAAATCATTGGATGCACTGACAATGGTACATAGAATGATATCATTACGTGAACGTTCACCATCAATTTACAAAAAAGTTGTTTGCAAATCTGATATAAATAAACCTAACACTCAAATACTGACTCACAGCAGTGCCGATATTCTAATAATAGTGCGCAATTATCCACGTAAAAACTCATTCGTATCAATAACAAATTTTGGGAATACCAAAGTTAATATAGATTTAACGTCGAATTTTTATAGTGGAACGCGAATGCTTATTGTTGGATCTACTGAGAAAATATATTTTAAACAATTTTTAATTGATGCATTTAACACGATTGTAGTCAAATTGGATAAGTAGGAGCTGAGATTGGAGCTGAGATATATTCTTTTTTAAATTATGTATGTTATCGAATTGAAAAAAAAAAAAACATAATAATAATAATAAATTGTTATACATTAAACTAAACTGATCACATCCAAGACCCTCTCAAACTAATTTTAAAATCTAAATACAATTTGATACATAATATATTCTTTTAAAATCATATTAGATCAAATGACCATGCAATGTACTAGTAAAATTGAACTTTTTTATAGAATGTAATCCACTCAGTTGCATAAGTTTTTCTCTTTTGATTTTCACATCATATTTGCTATTAGGATCATTAACCAGCAGAATATTCTCAAATTTGAAATATGAACGAAGCCACATGTAAACATTTATTTAAAATATTGTCAGTTTAGCAATCGAAGCACACTAGGGGCGTGGCATATCAGACCTGAAGATATAGTGATTTTTAAAATTCTGTTATATTTTGGACATTATTGATGCTAGAGGTCTCAAATTTGGTATATACATATATACTCGGGCTGACTCCCCAAGGCCAAAAAGTTTTAACGGATATATATGAGCTCAAATTTAGATAGTAACCTCCCCTATCGATGACCCAAAAATAAATGAATGAGTATTCCACAGTCGGTAACACCCGACTGCAACGTTCTTACTTGTTTAAAATAAAAAAGTAAGAACGCTCTAGTCGAGACTGCTCGACTAGAAGATACCCTGAACCCTTGTGTTTGAAATATGTTTCTGAAAATTTTGGGAGAAGGCGGCGTTGTATCCAAAATCCGTTAATTACAAAATGTTTTTATTCATCATATGTATATACCCAGTAAATCTGAAGTCTCCACGACTAATAGTAAGTATTCTAATGATTCTAACGAGGCGCAAATAACAAAACCAATTTTTCGGTTATTGTCGATAAAAAAGTTATCGGATGAGTATGGTCACTAACCAGTGGCACTAACCAGAGAGCACATAGACCGGACACGTAGTGTAAAGTGTTTTGCACACT